TATATATATATATATATATACGCAAAATAATTAACTTTAAATCTAAATCTTGGCGAGATACCCCGGAATGCCAAGTAAATTAAAACCGATACTGTTTTCTATTATGGTCTTACCATTTGATATTAAATAATATCGTTTATTAATCCTACGAACGTATACTTTGTTGGAAGCAAAGTAAAAAAAAAGAAAAAGAAAAATAAAAATACTTCACAATCGTTGTTTAACGATTTTTCGATCGTGAATTCAATTCAATTAATCGAACGCGATTTCATTTTATTTTTTTGTTAGTTTTGCGATCCGCATATTTTTTTCCCCTTCCCTCATTTTTATTATTTTTATTTATTTTTTTTTTTGTATTTTATTCTAGTTCGCATGGATTATTTTATTTATTTTTTATTCTCCAACGGGAAACATTACAATTATTGAGAACGGTTATTTTGTGACCTCGTAATAGGATTTTTTTTCTTTATAGTTCGACAAATTTCGACTAGTCTCATGATTCGAAAACGAACGAACAAACAAACAAAGAATACCGGAATGGCTGTTTGCCAACGTGATAGCCTTGAAAATCTTATAACGTCTCGTCGTGATTCACGAGGTTAAATCCTTTAGCTTATTTTTTCTTCCTTTCTTTTATTTTATATATTTTTTTTTTTATCATCGTCATCATTTTGTCCTCTCATTTTATAAAAATCAACTCGATTACGATAGACGATAAACTATCAGTAGTACATAGAAATATTTAAATTCATTTATCATTATTTATTATTCCGATAGTACTACTACATCTTTCGAAGTTGCAAAATAAAAAAAGAGAAGTCTCGATTCGCGATTCTCGTTCTCCGTTTTTTTTTCTTTCTCTTAATAATTATTAATTCGTAATTATTTATTGTTTAATTTATAATTTCATTTAGAGAGAGTGGTTATTATAATTTTTAAATAATGTATTTCGTTTAACTTTTGCTATACCGCAAATGACTAGTTGCCTGCCTGCCTGTATATATATGTATGTATATATGTGATTGTTTTTTTAATTGTTTAAATCGATTCCGACAATGAGTCTTCTTCTTTGGTCGTAGCATTACGACTTGTTGAATTCGGTATTTATGCCTCATACATATTCTAAAGGAAAATTAGATTCTTATATCGGAGAGATCTTTCTTCCTTTGAGAATACAAATATTATTTATTATTATACGCGCGTTTGGGGGTATTATATATCGTACATGTATACGTTATTGTTTAAAAAAAAAAAAAGAAAACAAAAAAAGGAACGTTGTTATAATAAGTGGCGTATTGAGATTCGAAAAAACTCCTTGAGGGAGGAAACAATAAAAAAAAAAATAAAATAAATTTAAAAAGAAAAAAAGAAAAAGAAAAAAAATCAAGACAATATTGGGGATCGTTCAGAAAGTTGATTAATAATTGTTCGGCGAAAAATTCGATAATATCAAACGTTGTTGTTGTTAAATAAGAAAAAGAGAAAAATAAAATAAAATAAATAAATAAATAAAAAAAAAAATAAATAGTTGATTATAAAAGAATTTTCTAAACGATCCAATATTTATACCATGGAAAATAGGCAAGAACGTGATGCAATCATTGAAACGTTAGATTTATTTAAGCTCTTGCTAAATTCGGCAAGATCCCTATTATACTTTCATTGTATAATTTATACACACAACGGATTATCTTACCGTTACTTTCTCTTCTCTCTAGTTTTTATTTTTTTTTAAATAGGTATGTAAATAAAATAAATATGTGCATATGTTTTTACACTATGTACGTGTATATAACATATAAAAAGCGCACGCAAATTTTTTCATGAAGCTATTTTCTAATTTTCTTATTGCGGAAATAAAAATTTGTAAAACGTTTATCGAGAATACGTGTGGGCGTTTCAACGATTAAAACAAATCGTACGCGTCGTGTAATATTATAGTTTTGTGATGGGTTTTCCCGAAAATGACGATAATAACAAAACGACGAAATAAGTAAACATATTTTTTTTTTCTTCTTTTTTCTTTTTTTTTTTTTACGAGATTTCTCATATAAAGCTCGAACTTTTTTTTCGCGTAAAAAAATTTCTTTCTCTATCGTGAGATGATATTTTTTAAACGACCAACCTAAATCATCATTCTCTTTTTTTAGACCTTTTTTTTTTTATTCCTACTTCCGTCCTGCCTTAGTTTTTTGTTTTCTGTCTTTCTTTCTTTCTAGAAAGCTTCTCGCGAATATATATATATAAATATTTATATAGATATTTTTTTCTTTTCTTTTTTTTCTTTTTTTCCTTTTTCGTATTTTCCTTTAGCGATCGCGATTCTAAACTCTTATCGAACTATCGATATTGCTATTAGCGATTTAAAATTAAAAAATGAAATTGCTCTGATGTATTGCTTGATGGAAATGTCGATTTGGTTGATTCGTGCGAAACTGTTAACTATTTACTTTCGTATGTTATATTCTTTCACTCTCTCTCTCTCTCTCTTTTTATCTATCTCATACATACAAATATACTCATCACGTAACACACTATTTTTATTTCTCTCTCTCTCTCTCTATTTTTTTCTCTAATCGTGTATTGCTGTGAACCATCGATACGGTGATGTAAAAAAATACGTAGAAACGATATATAAAAGTTCTACATGGAATACTATTCGCGTGCAACGATTTTGATTAGATCATCTATTATCTTTTTTCTTCTTCTCATTCATTCGAGTTATTTAAATTCATCATAAATATATGTGTATACTTAATTATTATAAATTAGAGATTTGATTATCGTCTAATACGACGCGAGTTTATTAATTAACGATGATAAATTTTTCTTTTCCATGCGTATTAACACTATTTCATGGATGCATTTTCAAATCCTTTAATTTTTCACTACAATTCGAACTATCATTCGGTTCTATGATATCTAATATGATTATTGCAACAATCACGAGCATATTTATTGCAATGAATATGTATGTATGTGTGTGTACTAATACGCAGGCTAACCCATAAATCAATTGGTAAATTATCCCAGAAATATATAGGCCTATATTTTATTTTTCAATGTCAACATTAAAATAATCATGGGCATACAGAATTCTTTATTAAATTCTTACCTGTATGTCCTTTTGACGTTTACAAATAAAATTTCGCAATTTATTAATAATAATATATAATTTATTTCTGTCAATTTACTTATGGGCCACCGTGAATATGTGTGTTTATATACTTCTTGTTAATGGATTTTCTAATTCAGACTAAATGATCTATTGATTTGCATCGATTGCTTATTTTTAGTGCATTCAGTTTTATAATGTGGCTACTATGTATGTATTTATGTAATAATATATACATATATATTATATATAGAATCTGAAAACTATGAATTAATGCATGTCCGTGTATAAGGGTATGTATGCGAGAAGGAACTCTGTGGTAAGACAATGATACTTCGACTAAAATACTCTTTCATCAAGTTCTAGAAACTCGCTAAAACTAATCTTTCTTTCTTTCTTTCTTTCTAGGAATGAATGATTAAAAAAGGCTTGTCGAGCATTTGGTTGCGCATAAGAGAAAAAAAAAGAAAAGAAAAAAAAACAGACAAAAAAAAAAGGAGAAAAAAAAGAAAAAACAAAACAGAAAAAGAAAATGAATTACATTAAAAAGTGGATTGATTCTAAATACATATATTTGCAGGTCCATGAACCGTGACTTCCATAGAAGAAAGAATAGGCGATATGCGTTATTAACCTGTAGGTATGTTATCTAAACTAATAGTCCTATTTAAGTCTTTCTTCGTTTCGCGACGATATTAGAAGAGGATCGCGTCTGGTCCCGCCGAGGAAGAGAACGTAAATAATCTTCAAAATTACGATTCCGTAATTCCCGTTTTCAATATATATACATATATATATATGTATATATATATAATATTATTTACCTTTCTTTTCCTCTTCCAATTATTCGTCCCATTATATTGCCCTGAGTGTATGTTTGTACGTAATCATTAACCATTTTTCTTCTTATTTCTTTTTTTTCTTTTTTGTTGTTCTTTCATATTCATATTCATGCACGCGCGAGACCAAACACGGCAACAATAAGACATTATTAATATTATATATATATAGACGCGAGTTTGAAAAAACGAGAGAAAAACTTTATCGATTTAGAGGAACTTCCTCCAAAGGTGGAACATTACCGACCTGTTGAAAACCGCTCCTGAATATTCGACCACGACTGGTGCTAGCCCTAGTCTGATCAAGAAGCGTCACATTGTCCTCGAATTCTCGAACCCATCTAGCAGTCTCGTTACCCCAATGAAAACGTATTGGTGCAGCTTGATGGAAGGCCTTCTTTATCCCAAGATTACGCATATGTATACCCTCGCTCGAATGATAAAAGGATTTTTCACAAAAGTCCTGAGCCAAAAATGGTTCCAATTCTCCAACGATTTCCATGAAGGTTGGACGATCGCTTGGCCGCCATTTGAAACACTTTTCCATTATTTTTTGTATATTAATCGGACAGTTTTTCGGTACACTAAGAACACCTTTGTGCAGAACGTAATTTAATACTTCATCGTTGGAAAATCCTTGATAGGGTATCTCAGCGAGAGATAGTATCTCGTATAGTACAACACCGAATGACCAAACGTCCGAATCGGATGTGAAAACGCCATCCGAAAGATTCTCAGGTGCCATCCATCTTATCGGCAAAAGACCCTTCTTTCCGATTTTATAATAATCGGTCTCGTAGACGTCCCTGGCCATTCCAAAATCTCCAATCTTACAAACCAGATCCTTCGAGATCATACAATTTCTAGCAGCCAAGTCACGATGAACGAACTTCTTCGATTCCAAAAAAGACATCCCGTCCGCTATCTCAGCCGCCATTCTTATTATTCTCGAGGTATCTGGAATTAAATCGGTGTCTCGTATACGACGCAAATAAGTCTTCAAGTCTCCGTTCTCCATGAGTTCCATTATGACATACGGCGGAGAACCTAAGCTAACGACTCCTAATAATTTGATTACGTGAAAGGTAGAGAAATTCTTCATCACCGAGGCCTCATTTAAGAACTCGTTCTTCTCACGCTCGCTGCATGCCGCAGAGATCGTCTTGATCGCTACCTCCTCGTTTCCCAAAAGACCACGACATACCATACCGAAATTACCATTACCAAGTTCTTCCAAGATCTTGACGCTTTCTCTAGGTACCTCCCAACTGTCAAGGATATATTTGGTTTCTATGTAATCAGGATTTACACAGGCTATCAATCTTGCTTGCGTATTCTTCTTTCGACGATATCTCAAGTAAACACATCCAATTACAAGAAACACGCTGAAGAAGCCAAAGATCACCACAGGTATCACGACTACTGATTTATCATCACTGAATTTAATGGAAAAATAAACCATCTCGGAAAAATTACCACTGCCAGCTAATGATGTCGAGCGTATTCGTAGACCGTAATTACCGGGACTTAAATTCTTAATCTGATGAGTTTTATGATTCTCGTAACGTCCAACGTATGGTATACACTCGGTACTTTTCTTTGCATCTTTGACATCCAAATTCGTATATTCTATCGTATAACTTACAGTGAGTGCATTAGGTTTTCTAACGGTATCCCAAGAAACCTCGACTATTGAGCTGTTGGTTATTTTAGTTTTGACATTGCTAACATTATCGGCCGTCTCCCGTTTTTTCGTTCGAATGTTCGTGTATTCCACGGACGAACACATTTGCTCGTCGTCTCGATGTTTGACTCCGCAAGCAGCAACCGATATGGTATACAAAGAAAAATGTTGTAGATACTTCAAACGAAATGAATTATTCTCAGCACTTACATTATAAATTAATTCATTGTTGATAACATTCACGGTATTTTCCGATTTGTATTTGAAATCGTTAACTGAATTGTATCGGTTGAAAACGCAAGAACCTTTCCAGCCAGCAGTTAAAGTACTTATCCCGAAATTTTCATTACACAATAGCATCTGAAACTTTTTTGAAGTTGACAATCTAGTAAATTCGTCTTTGAAACAGCAAGAGGTTGGAGCAACGATTGGTTGTAAAGGTATTTTAGTAACTTCTTGTATGTCTTCTACTTCGGGTTCATTTATCAAGCCGTATTTGCAGTAATCTCTGGATGAAAGAAATTCCGCGTCGTCTCGTTTTAACGAAGCGGATATAATGTAGTAACCGATAGGACCATTTGGATACTCCGGTGGATTCCATTTGACCAGAATCTCGGTATCGCTCAACGCGGTAGAAACAACGTCGGTAGGCATAGAAGGTATGTCACTACTCGTTCTGAAAAATATTATCTTCGACTGACCTACGGGACTACTAGACGAAAGTAAAAAGCTTTCGTTTCTCATAGAAAAAGTCTTTACATAAACGGCATATTTCGTGTACGGCTTCAAACCCGAAATATGTTTGGTTACTTTCTCCTGAAGTAAAGAATTTCCATTGGGTATGTCTACGTCAAGCATTTGCCAAGTATTATTACTACAAGAATTTCCTTCGTAAGTGATGTTTTCGTTTTCGGTTTCCATGTAACTCAAAATATAACTCAACAATTGTTGTCCTCTAGGTGGCTGATAACTATCCCAAATCAAATCGATATAATTCGGGCCTTTTTTTTTAACTGTGATATTTATGTTAACTACATTACAAGCTACCTTTTCTCCATTGGAATCTGGTTGCACCTCGAGATCGCTAAAGTCTGTTATCCTTACCATTTTACTGAATTCTATGATCTTGTACATACAAAGTCTAGGATTGTAATGAAAGAACAATCTACCATCTTCAATATCGATCTTCTGCGACGGTGGAAAAAGACTCGAAAGATTTGGATTATCCAATATGACTAAACTCGCATTGTTTATGTCCAATCTTTTACCTTTGATAACTCGGAGTTTTTTGAAGAAGGCCAATGATGTGATTGGAAAGGAATGAGTCACTTTCAGATACTCCGTGATTTCTTCGATCAAACCAAAAGCTTCAGTCAGTTCTTGCATGATGTTTGGATTACCATTTCTTATTTGGAATTCCAAAGCTCCGTCTACTACAGTCGTCCCTCGAAATATTTGAGCGTCCGAGATGTGCCTTATAATAGCACTATGACCTATTTTACGACATCGTGCCTTGCAAACTTGACAGGTGGTAACCTAAACGACACGCGAACAAAATTTTGTATAAATATTATTATTATTATTATTTTTATTGTAGGGATTTTAAAAGTAAGATACAAATGATCATATTATTGAACATCCATACGTTATTTTCATCAACGTGATCCTCGTATCCCTCGGGACATTGGGTGATGCAAGAACCGTTAAAGGGTCGCCATTTTTGTTCATCTTCGAGTCTCCATATTTTTCGCAAGTTATTCATTTGTATACATGCTAATTCAGTAATACATCTCCTTGATATATAAGCATATCTAAAAACATAGAAAAAGTATACGGTTATTATCGTTTACTTAACACGAACATTACGTAACATGAATTATTCTTGACGAGGAAATATCTTCGAACGTGACTTACAAATGACTTGGACAGCTCTCAACGCATTTCCCTTCGTGCCTATAGTGTTTACAAACGTAACAATCTCTATCCGTTTCGCCATTGCATTCTCCAAGACACTGATGATGACACTTTGGTTTCTCAGTTATTTGACAATGTTGCGCAGTCCAACAATAACCACCAGGACACTGAGAAGAGCAACCAGGGCATGAACTTTCATTGTTATTGTCCTTGATAAAATTATCTCCAGCCGTAACTATAACGTCCCAATTTAACGTATTGGTGTAACACAAGGCTGAATTTTTCTCGATCCTTACCCCACCTCTAGCAATCTTCGTTAGTTTTGTTAAGCCGATCTGTTAAGTTCGATAAAAGAAAAACATATTTAAAAAATGATCTTGACAGTCAGAGACCAAACTATCGGTCAATTTAATTAACCGATTAACGCCACTTGACCCGCCTATTAACCGGTACTCTTTGAAGTAAATTGGAGCGAACCTTCGAACCGGCAAAATCAGCTTTGCTTTGCCGTGGGAATGACGATCGCGATTGATCTCGTGCGACAAATATGTGACTACTATTACTAATACTCTCTTCTACTGACTCATCGTGTACCACGACGTAACATTTAAACGAATAAGGTAGAATCTAATGCTATGGCCTTGCCTTGCGGTAAATTATCCATGAACATTATCAATCATCCAAGTACCAGGATCTAACGGTTAAAACGAAATGAGAAAAAAAATCTGCAATCTCACCTCCTGCAGGTTTTGCATCTCGTACACCATAAATGCATAATCCGTAAGCAGTATATCTCCTCTGATGGTCTCGAGATTCGGAAAGAGAGTTCCAAGGCTCTTCAATCCGTAAACGCGATAAAGTAGAAGATACCCGGTTATCTCTCGTAGGTCCGGAAAGCTAACGTTTTCAAAATCCGATCCGGTATGATTCTCGATCAGAACAATCTGTAGGAAGCCCTCGATCACGCGACAACCTTTCAATATCGCAAAATTGTGAACGTTGTTCCTAATATCGATGCTCTGGCATATACCATCGCCTATAGTGACATTCTTAAATCTTCGTGTTTTCTCTCGTACCTCCTCGCTTGATTTAGTCCGTGATCTCGGATAATACGAGGAATGTTGTTGATAGCTTTTGTTCGAACCATCGATGCCGTCTACCGACCTGTAAACCAATCATCAAAATCCTCCAATTGAATTATCGATAGGAAAAACAAACTAAAAGTAATTAAAATAAGAAATATCTCATTCCTAAATGTAAATATCTGTTAGGGTGTGTGTACCTATTGTCATCGATGGCCCTGGTCTTCCTATAAACAGCCAAGTTGGATAAATCTTCCGACAATTCATCGAATTTGTTTATCCTTTCGACGAAATCATCCTCGTACGTGCCCATGGCTGTGTTTTCAGGATACTTTATAAAAGCTACCGGCTTGGAGGTTCTCTTTTGTTGCTGGCAAATCGCCAGAGGCGCCAGGACACAGAGTAGCACGAGCAGCAGCTTCATCCTTCTCATCTTCTTGTCTCATGGACACCACCAGGCTGCTGCCGTTGGTGCTTATTTTGCTTCTGCTGGCTCCACGATTCTCTCTATATCTCTTGTGAACACCGTTTTCTTGCTTCTCCCCTCCTAACACACACTTTCAACTTCGCTTTTGCGCTCTCTTCTTCTTCTTCCTCTCCTCTCGAACGTGCTGCTGCTGTTGCTGCTGCTGCTCCTCCTTCTCTTCCTCCTCCTCCTCCTCCTTCTTTTCTTCCTCCTCCTCCTATCGTCGTGGACGACTAATCGTTCTTTCGCTAGAAGGTGTCTATCTACAACTTCTACCGGTGCAAATCTACTCCGATAGGACCGCAGAAATCTCGTAAGCAACATCCAACCCTTTTTTTCTAAATTTCAAGTACCCCTCCTCTCACTCTTTCTCTTTCTCTTCTTGGCACCGGACATACAACGCGACAACAATACTACTAACGTTGAACAATTTATTCGATATTATTCCACTATTTTTGTTCGCACGTATTCGAATGTACTTTTTTTTAAAGAAGCTTCTTATTAAAGATGAAGTACTTTTTTGACCTCATTATCGCACTTGCCTAACGATTTATTCATCTGAAAAATATAACAAAAATAAACGTGTTATATGCTTGTATTTATATCTTAAATAACGTAACATTTTCATTTTTGTATTTTCGCAAAGCGAACACAAACGTTCGCATTTGAAAACACGTAAATAATTTCATTAACTAAGTGCCGATAGCTCTTCGGTAGCAAAAGCAACGTAATCAAATGGTTTAACACCTGTGGATTAATCTTTCACGTACGTTATAACGTAATTTATTATACATCACTTCCCGGTAAAGCATCGTATCGTTAATTGCTCTCGAAATGAGCCTCGGTGAAAGCTGGATACGAATGAAGGCCAAACGATCGAGAATTTATATGCAGAAGAACATATACATTTATCTAAAAGCTCTATAGTTAATTTAACGTTATTCCAAATTGAATGATTTCTGTCTAGACGTTAACAAAGTAAACCACACTTGTTGTCACACACGAACATTATTAAGTTTGTCATATATATAAACTAATAATAATAAAAATAATAATAATAATAATAATATTATTATTATTCTAGCAAATGTGACACAAATCCAGACGCTGAACTCAAAAGAGCAACGTTCTTAAACGAGATAAACGGATTGAATTTATGATAGCGATCCTCGTAAGAGTCCCTCGTAATTCTTAACATCATGGAAAATGATGACGTATATTTATATATATATATATACATGTGTGTGTGTGTATGTTTGTACATATTTCTTGTAATACGAAGCTGAACTAGACGTTAAAAGCATAAAACAGTTAAATCCTAAGTGTCCGAGGAAATGGTATGGGTGGCAATAACCGGCCTAATGCAAATCTCCTTGCAGATACTTGTCGTAGTTTTCTAGAAAAGAGAGAGAGAATTTGTCGACAATTTTAATTTTTAATATTCATAAAGCTCGAAATGATATTTCTAATTTGATTGCTTTCATTTTTTACTCGATGTGTAAACAAGTTTGAAGGATTATCAGATTATAAGAAATATCAGAGGAATGCAGTGATACGAGTAAATAAAACAAGTTAGATATAGCAATTAATAGATGTGTCGTTTAATTTCTGGAAATGTATATAATACGCGTTTAACGCGTGCTTGATTAAATCAATTCCTCATAATCTCACGATCTCATTCTCCGATCTTTAAAGTATTTCGTTAATTTTACGACATTCACGGATATTCGATAGATAATAATGAGGAGAATTGGTCTAACGTCTCGCGAAATGCGAATTAAGTTACAAGTATCATCGAAGTAAAATTGAAAATCAATATGTTATCGATTTTATTATTAGATTTTTGTTAATTTAGATTCGTCCGATCGATGAATTAAATATAATAAAAACGCCTATCTATCTTAAAGAAATAATTGCTAAATACCGCGGCACGTTTACTTTCTAAGGTGTATATGATTAATGAACTCGGAAAAAGATAGTATCGAAAGGCAAACTACAGTTTGTGGTGTTATGCGCGCGATCCTTTGAAAGGGAAACATTTATCTCGCTGGAGGGAAGAAAGTTACAAGAGAGAGAGAGAGAGAGAGAGAGAGAGAGAGAGAGAGAGAGAGAGAAACACGTGCCGCCGCCTCTCTTTTATCAGAAAACGAAATCATGCGAACGGTAACGTAAAAATACAAGAACACATCGAGGAATCTACCCATTCATTATTTCGAACGAACTATAATGATAACGGACGATAAGTGGCTGGATTTAGGTTCGTGCTCGTAAAACCGAAACTTTACGCATTACCAAACAACTCTCAATCGAAACTATATAGGGGGGTCATACACTCGATATTAACTATTAAACGGGCCTCTATCATCATTTTTTTCTTCTCTTTCTCTGTTTTTTGAATCATTTCAATACTTCTGCTTTCATATATTATAAGGTCAGTACTTTGAAAATATTTTTAATCAGCGTTTATAATAACGCGTCATTATGCGATAACACAATCTGTCACTGAACTGATGCAACCTTGTGTTCGTATTATTATTACTCGCCAATATTTTTGTCTATGAAATATATATAAATAAAAACGTTTAGATTATTATTAATGAACATTATCTCGCTGAGATAGATTTTATTCTGCGGTGAGGGCTAGGTGATGGTATAAGATTAAAAAGAGAATTTAGAATTAAAAAAAAAAATTAAATTAAAATATTCTCAATTTCAATTATCTTTTCGAGAAATAAACTTCTCAATTCATTCTCGGTGCATAGAACATAAACCACCATATTATACATGTAGAAATATATATATACATATACCCAGTAAAAGAGAGCTCTTGACGATGACTTTCCATTCAGTCAATTTCACGCTTTCTATCGGTGCACGAATTAACGATTAGCCGAGAATAATCTCGCGATAGAGTCTCGACGAACAACTTCCGCTGAATTTATTCAAAAGATTTCCGAGTTATCGGAGCCTCCTATTCCACTGTACTCCTAACGTTAATGCAGGTAAAGAATATGCAAATTTTCTATACGAGAATAGGTCGAATATTCAATAGAATTTGTCTATTCGTTTATAATTAATAATATAACGCACATTAAAATACAAATAAATTATTATAACTTTTCTAATTTGATTCTCTAAATTATTCTAACGACGTTGATATCTTGAACAAAGACTGGGTCCTCTTTCTTTTTATTTTTTAACGATATATTATCATATATTCTCCTCACTTTTACACATATTTCAAGAAATTTCGATCTTTATCCATATCCGGTCCAGATTCACTCGACAAAAAAAACAAATCTTGAACAGAGTTTGTTTGTCCTTCTACCTAAACGGAGGGGGGCGAAAGGGGGGGGTGTCTGACGTCGTCGTCACATTCGTCCAATTCGAAATATTCTCTTTTTCTCTTATCGTTCATACACACACACACATATATACAACCTACATACACGTACGTATACTATCCTATAAACCAGTCATACTCAACTTGCGGCATTTGAATCATGTGTTTAGTTATCGGTTTTCAATTGGTTATCCGTAAAGACAAACAGTTGAGTACTCCTGTTATAAATCCTCCTAATGTCAACAACCAAATAAAAAACAATCAGTCAAGTCTTACTTTTTTGGTTTTTTTTTACTTATTACATGCCACTGCAATCTATTATTATTATAACATTCATTCAAGATTCAAGGTGGGTGTCCAGTAATATCTAGTGCTCGAGTAATTTCTTAGTAGTAGTTATAGTTTTTAGTTTTGTACTGAGAATTATTAAACGAAAACAACACAACTACCACCAGAAGGTTAAGGAAATTCAAATGGTGTCTTGTAAAACGTAATTTTTATCAATTGCGTATTATTTTTTTAAAAAAGAAAATCCTTGAACTTTATAAACAGTAAGATACGAGGAAGAGGGGGTTAAAAAAAGGTAGTGTTGGATAGTCGATTAAAAATAGAACGTATATTACATTTGCATGCGCGTGATACTACGCACACAAACCGATTGCAAGCTTTTGAATGGATCGTGACGTTTCGAACGATACGACCAACCCAAATGTTTACTTTTTCGTTTGACTTCCTCGTTTTATTTGAAAAACGATTCGAATGAATAGGAACTTTTTTTTTTTACACTCGCGTATGAAGAATTTAACGAACGTATTGTGAGTAATACACACACGGGCGGCACATGCGAAATTTTAAAACGAAGTCAATTTTGAAAACTTTACAGAAATAATAAATGAGATTATTATTAGCTTGCACTGATAATATATATATATAACCAAATAATTTATATTTATACGTATGCACATGTATTATATATTTGATACGCGTGTTTACGATTAAAAGTAAATACGTATATTCATATTCCAAGAAACAAATCGGAATTCTCGTGGGTCGATTACATTTAAACTTGATCACGTTTTTATACTAACACCGTTTTAATCGATTTACGAAGAATTAATAAATATGTGCATATATGCATACTTATACACATAGGATATACGGACATAAACGTCATTCGTTTAGATAATGGCACGATGTCAATAACGATGACACGTGAAACGTTTTATTTTTCTCCGTTTTATTAAAACGCATCATTTCCGGTAATGATTTTCGCAAAACGACAAAATAAATTCAGATAATCTAAAAAATAAATTCTTCCCATTCTCCCCATCCCCCCCCCGACGCCTACTTGCTCTCTGTCTCATTTATATTTATATATTTTTATATGCTAATACTCACACGCGCATATCTACATAATTACATATTGGTATATACAGATTATTATTATATTTCGTAATTTAATACCACCATAAAAATATTTATTCGCGTACCTTTAAAAACATATATTTATCTAGTCACACGCTTCCTCGCTTTTATGCGACACCATTAAACGTACAATAATATATATATATATATATATATATAAAAAAAAAAAATGTTTTTACCGGTTCTATATTCGAACATAAGTCTTTTTTTTTTCTATCTTTACTCCAGTTAATAATTATTATATCTCGTCCATTCTCGTATAAAAAGAGAGAATAAAATGAAATAAAGAAATAAAAATAAACTACAAAAATGTATACGTGCACCAATATTACACTGTTGGCGTAACTTGCTTGCTCAGTGACAGCTTGCAAATAATTAACCGTTCCGCGTTATTTGTAACTCAGACGCAACCTTCATTGCTAACTTGTGTCGAGTTTGCTTTTCCTCTTTTTTTCTTTTTCTTTTTTTTTTATTTTTTTATTATTTTTTCACCTTTTTTCTTTTTTTACTTTCCTTCCTTCCTTCTTGTCAAACGTATCGAGTATATGCGAAAGAAAGACGATGCGAAAAGATACGATTGTCACGTGCACGTTCGCGTATCGAATATACAACGCTGAATAATCGATCCTTGCGATAAAGACAAATCGATCCGAACGATAAACTCAGGTTCGTTGTCCTTCGTATTTTTATCCATTTGTAAAATGAACTTACGTTATTCAACATATTAGGTTTGGCAATTAATTTCGGTGCCCTTTTAACACACACACAAACACGATATAGTATATTTATT